AGGGGGGAGTTAAGAAATACCGACCCCTAAGCCCTTAGTAGTGGTGTAGTAAAACATAGCTGCTAGGACTCACGCGGTAGGCTGCGCAACCACATGTTTCACATTGACAAGTACTATGATGTTTGGCTCAAGACATGACAGGAAAACAAGGTCTACTTGCATTTCTCTGCGGTAGGCCTCTGTGTGGTTGTGTCTTGGTGTTTGTAACTTATCAAAGTCCAATCATTACGGCCCCTGCATTAGGTACACTGATTTCTTTGGCCGAGACTTTCCAGCTTGGTATTTCGGACGAGCGCCACAACACCGTCGCAAAGGCAGCTATTTGTTTTCAGACGGTTCTATGGGGTGCTACACAGAGTTTAATAGGGTTTTAGGAAGAGGGTGTAGGACCCGTTTGGGTGGGTTTATTGTAGAAGGTTTGTAGAGGGCCCGGTACATTCCGCACCATACATTTCAAATCATAATCAGGATCCCCCTATACTCTCAGGAAGACTAGTGGCTAGCCTTACTGGATATTGGTTATACAGCAAACACTTTCAAAACCCTCATCAACCCTGAACCCTAAAGAGTAGGGTAACTCCCGTCCACTGGGGAGTGTATGCTGCGGTAATTTGCTTATTTTTATCTGTTCGGTTTGGATAGTGGCACGCATGGGCAGCTTACAGTGTCACGCCGACTTATGCACCTATGGATCCTCGCCTGGCTTGTCCGAGTTGTGAGAGTGTAAAGAGTAGGGTAACTCGCATCGTCCGAGTCGCGAGAGTCCTAACCCTACTTTAAGAGATATTCCCCGAGTGATTGAGATGTGTCGGCTCCCCCGGCTGGTTGCTTTTTTCCGTTCTTTCGCTGCAAAGCACAGAGGCGCCCACCAACACCCCGTGAGCCCGAAAAGTCAGAGCAAACCTACGGTTTAGGGTTTAGGGTTAGGTCATAATCAAGATTTATGCCGTAAAAACTGAGAAGTCCTTGGTCAGGGAATTTCCAGTTCTACTCCCCACAAAACGTGGTATTGCATTCTTGGGAAAGCCACCCTGCAGCTATACTACGCATTACATGACCTACCTGAGTTTCTTCTGTTGTAGGTTATGGCCTGTGTTATGCTGGATCATATACTCAACAAATGTAGCTGCCGATGCTTTATAGAACCCTTTTGGACCTCTTGTAGAATTGTTCTGGGCCCTCATTCAACCCTTGCGGATGTTGGCACTGTAGTCTGGTGAAACGAGGAATGCAAGGGGATATCATTACGAATCATCCAAACCCCCTACATTAAAAACACGTCATGCCGAAGTACCCTATGGCCCTACTACAAGCGACTAGCTTCATGCTGGAGCGACAACGAGCCCGCTGAGCTGTGCATCGTCTTGGCCGCTGGTTGGCTTCTTCCAGTCCCAAACCCGAGCATGTTGCAGACCCGGGAACGAACCCGATGTGCTTCTTGAAACCATGCTTAAAAACTCAAACCAGAGATAGAGATGCTCCATGAACCTCGCAGAGCCAACGAAAAGCCAGACAATCAAAGGAGTCTGGGGTAATTGCAGGGCCTGTCATGGATCCCTAATCCGTAAACCCCAAAGCCCGAAACCCTAAGTGAGTGCTGAAACCACAACTCCAAACCTTTCCCATGCTTCAATCCTTGCCTCCCCAAAGGTGAAGAGAAAAAAGAGCAAGAAAAAACAGCCTGCTGTACATGAAGGCCGGAACCTACAGGAGTTCTTCAGGGTTTAGGGTTCCATGGGAGTTCATAGAACCTCTCTTAAGCTACCATAACCTACTTGTTTGTGGGTTCTGATTATACACTCGAATTTCAAGTTTATAGAGACCCTACAAAGAAGTAGGGTTTGGTAGCTTCAGGCTACGGCAAGGTTATGATCTGATCGGTGCTCGCAGCATCCGTTTCATGCCTTAGCTGGCTTAGCTTCCTTGGACGTGTCTCTGGGATTGCGGTTTTTGTGCCTGAATGCAGACCCCTAAGGGTCCATGTATTCATATAGTATATACATTGGCCCCAAAGTACCTATATAGGGGCTACTTTAAGGCCAAAGTATCACTGTTTGGGTACATGGACCCTTAGGGGACCATCAAGTCCCGTTCTATTTTGGCGGGGGCTTTGCATTACTCGTAGGATCCCTGTCCCTTATAAAGCCATATAATATACAGAGCCCTTACGTACGCAGAGCCCAGAATTATGAAGCTTACAAGGGGCGATGATGCATGGAGGCGACGAAGAGCAGGAAGAAGTAGACGAAGAAGACGAAGGGGTCGAGGAGAATGGCGACGCAACAAACTCAAAGAGCGACTTGGCCATTCTGCACTTGAGGCTAGCTTTCATGGGTTTTGGTTTTAGGGCTGTGGGTTTGGAGTTGCGCGTTGTGGGTTTGGGGTTCAGGGTTTTGTGTTCGCAATCATGAAGTCCGGTTTCAAAAGGGTTTTGTGTTCGGAGTTTCGGTGCACTACATCTTTCAACTTCGTAGACGGTGTCGGGAATTCCCGCTGCCGCTGCAGTTCCTCCCAACCTGACCTTGGAACCTCAAGCCTGAAGAGTTACTGTAGGAATACTATCCCGTTTTAGGGTTTAGGGTTTATTTAGGGTTTAGGGTTTTAGGTTTAGGGTAGGGTTCCTTATATAGGTCATAGTAGCATAGTATTATACACCCTGAAAGGACCTACTGCAATTACTCAGGCCCCGACATCGCATCCTTGCATGGCAGGTTGTGAGGATGACACGAAACACGGAGACGATGTCCATGCGAATGCCAGACTGTAGTTCGAGCATATAGTCTAGGACATTTTCAGGTGGGTAGTGACCGTTATAGGGGCCTCATAGAAGGTCTATGTACATTATGGAAGCCTTCTAGAAGCCCTATATACCCTAAACTCCCCACCTGTAGTTTCCTTTAATATAGTAAGACACCCTATCAGGAAGAGTATTGCCAATCTTCAGGCTGATAGATTAACGTGTTCGGAAGGTCTGCGACCATGGCCTGCCTAATCGTTAGTGATGCTCCGACAGTAGACCGCTCCATTACCGCCACCGATCCCGAAGCAAACGCTCACATGGCAGATGCCCAGTTCACATAGTCGTACCCAAAACCCTGAACCCAAAATTTGGCCCAAACCCCAAACCCTACATCCGTCCTGATCACCCCGTTCTCCCGGATTCTCGTTTCAGGTAGCAGACGAGCTTCCTTTGGAGCCAGCTGTGCTACCGAGGACCCGGGAAACGTTTTATTCTCCAGTTTAGCTTTGGGCGTCAAACTCCGCAGAAGCCCTGTTACTGATACTACGTTACATAGAGGTCTGAATAACTTGTACCCAAATTCCCATAGTGCCTACATAGCTGTAGTATAAAAGCCCCAGTACCGAGGTCTAAGTATTAAAAACCATCTACTTGGTTTCTGCACTATGGTTATCCTGGGTGGGACGGTTGCAGTTGTTATCCATTGCTCCCAGAAACCGACAAGCCGGGGTTCAGGAAGCGAAAATGTAAACAACTAAACCTTCTCGGGACGTTTTTTTCATGCTGTTCTATGGATATGTGGGCGTCAAACCAACGCCTCACACGATTCGCGGGCCTTCAACATATGTTATGGGCTTGTGGCTTCAAAAGGCAGGCTTCCATGAGCTCTTGCAAGGCAAGGTCCACTTGCAGGAAACGCGCGGCCCCGGATCTGATTGAAACTCCCATTTCAGGTAGGAAAGGACGACAGTGCGCCTTCTGGTCCTGGAAAACCTCGTCCACAAGCTCTTACACCGTTGGGTTTGGCATGACACTGTCATGCCAACCCGTCTCGTAGCTCTTTCAGGAACACTTATCGTAGCCCTTCATAGAGAGTTTCATTCAAGAATCGACATCGAGGCTTAAACCAACATACTCAGCTCGAAACGCAATGGACCGGAGCACCGAAAGCCCAATCAAGCCTTAAATCCTAAGCCCCCCAAGCCTGAAAACCGAATGGCTCGGAAGCCATAAGTCGGTTTAGGGTTTAGGGCTTAGCATCCCTGACCCTCGTCCCGCAAGCTCCACTGTAATGAGTTCCACAGTAGTACCCTTTGGCACTTTGTCTTTCTCCGTCGCGTCATGAAACCCAAACTGTAGGAACATGGGCACCCTTATTCTCTATTCTTAAGGGGTTACTGGGGAACCTAGTGCTTCTTTAACACTCAAGCCCTCACCGCCGCAGCACCCTAAATCCTTTGTCCCGAAGCCCTAAAGTCCAAAAGTTCCAAAACCTTGAACTCCTGAAGGCAGGGTTTAGGGTTTGGGGTTCAGGGTTTAAGGTTTAGGGTTTAGGGCACCCGAACATCAAAAAGGCCCGAAGAACCCTAAAACTCTGGTTCCCTAACAGCCCCAAGAACCTGAAAACCGGACCGTAGAAGCCCAAAAGTTGGAAACCCAATAGCCTCAATCCTGAAAGGTGATGCACTGGGAGCGGCAGCACCATTTGACCTTGATCCGATTTCCAACTTTTTGGGGTTTAGGGTTTAGGGTTCCAAGTGCAGACCAGGTTTGTGCAGAGCATGATCTGAAGTCAATGCCGTGGGCTATCAGTCCGGTCGAAATCTGACAAGGCCGTTACAAAAAGGGTTTAGGTTACTTTACTCAACCGACAGGATTTGGTCCGCACCTGGATCCAGAGACGCCCGGATCTCTTTCGCCCTCGACTCATGCCCTTGGAACTGGACACGGAGGTGCGCCGACCCTACAGGTTGTCCTTGCTGTTATTGTCCCTTACGGTTTGGGGTTCAGGGTTTGGAGAAAAGTACTGTTGATGATATAAATCCTGCATTACCTTAAGGGCCCTAAAATAAGGGAATTATGGCATATTCCTTATTATGGGTAATGCAGGTCTTATATCATCGACCGTAGTTTAACAGGAAGCCGTGAGAGCCCTTTTGCTTTTGGAAGTCTCTCTGTCGTCCTGCAAAGTTACACTCAAGATCTTGCGTGCGATCTGGAAACAATTGTTTTTGTCCAGTTGGAGCTGCTCGATACTGCTTTGAGGTTCATGGGTAGTTATAAGTGGGGTTATAAGTGAGCCTATTTATAACTTATAACCCATATCAAGAGACTTATAACCCCACTTAAAACTACCCATCAACTTCCAAGTGTCATAATACAAAAGTGATACTGTAACCTTATTATAATTGACTCTTAAGATGTCAGGTTGTACTTAACCGGCGCGTGTCTATGCTAAACCTCATTTTTGTTCATCCTGTTGACTGTTGGCTGCTACTAATATAGGAGCCTGAATGTATAGTATTACATTCCTCCTGAACCCTAAACCCTAAACCCTAAATTATACTTGTAGTGCAAGGAAACCCCAAGACTTCAGGATCATGTTCTCAATATGAGGTATGCGGTAAACCAACAATCAGAATGTAAGTGTGAAGCAGTCACTTGTGGTATGACGTAGCCCCAAAATCATAGTCTAGGCTAGGTACTAAGGGCAGGAGTCTCTAAGTTACCCTAATTTACCCGAAACTCTGTTGCGAGAATCCAAACCGCCAACCCGTTCAAACATTGTGTAATTTAGGGTTCGGCGCTTGCGCAGCCATTTACAATTTGCAAGCCCTTTTTGCATGCTTTCCTACGGGTCTTGAAGATGGGTTCGAGCGACACCCTGAGGTCGAACTCGCCTGCTCCGTCCCTTTGGTCACATTCCAGCTGCCACCTTTTCGGATTCTGTCTGAGGCAGGGCGGTTTAGGGTTTAGGGTTGGGGCCTGAATCCCGCAGCTCTAAACAACGCTTTGGGGGTTACCTCTCCATGAAAAAGTTGAGTTGCAAGTGATCCGGGGACCGGTTCAACTCAATCCAAGAAGCTCGGCTGTCAAAAAGGGCTCGTGTGTAGCATTAATGGAACAGCAGCCCACTAAAGAGGTAGCTGGGCTTCCAGCGAATTGGCCCTCTTCAAGAATCCCTACGAAATGCAAATAGTTTAGAGTTTTTTGTCTGATAGATAGTCCCTATATTCTTATACAGGCCGCTCTACTACAATACACCCTCATAACAGCCCTGAGATAGAAACCCTTTAGATGGACTTCCATCAAAGCACCCAGTTATCAAGGCCCCTATTGTTGCATCCTCAAGTTAGGGACGTGGGAGTAGGCCCCTGCGCTCAGCCCTTCGTAGCTGGGGGTTTAGGGTTCAGCGAGCCCGGAAATCCTAAACGCCCGAAAACCTTGCATAAAAGACTTAAAAACCTTAGAAGCACTAGGCCCCTAAACCCTAAACCCCTGAAGGTGGAGCCTTGCCTGCTGCGTGCGAGTGTGAGAGTCGAAACCCCTGAAGCCCTAATCCCAAAGCCTTGAAAGTTGAAAACCCAGTAGATACTGCCGACTCCCTCCTCCCACCTGGCTGGCAGGCTTTGGCCCAGAGAACCCACCACCCCTTACTTCAGCAATATACCTTAAACTATAGGGGCTTAGTATTATGATTTCCGTTATTAGGGGGTATTGGGCTCTCTGGGTAAGTTACTCCCACCAGTGGAGGTTTGAGGTTTAGGGATTAGGGTTTGAGGATTAGGGTTTAGAGCTCAGCACCGAAATTGAAAACAAGGTGCGGAAAGGGCCTGCCCAGAACCCCTTGAGCCGCTTTCGAAGAGAATAGTACGGCACCCTTTAACAAGGATCTAAAAGTGGCCTTGCTTTAGAGACCTTCCCAAATCTTGGATTGCAAACCCCCTTGACGGGGTTCAAACCTACATTTTGTGAATTACTCAAGTCCTCCATTATATACCCCTATAAATCCTGAAACCCTAGACTTCACTGATTGAGTGCTTCTACTCTTTGCTGTGGGAGCCAAAACCCGCGACCAGAGCTTGTTGCCCTGGCTTGGGCTTTAGCACTACCGGTTGAAGGCATGGGGCCCTTTCCGAGGGCATCGAAACATCGCTGAGGATCCCTTATAGTGGAGGCCCAAAAGTTGGAAACCCAATAGCCTCAATCCTTAAGAGTAATCTCTAAGGAATCCCAGGGTTTACTATATAGTATCCTTCTAGAGGGCCCTTAAAGCCTTATAGGATCCCTTATAGTATACCTCTAAAGGGCCCTTGAAGCCTTATAGGATAAGGTGGACAGCATTTGGGGCAAAACGGAGCCTGACAAGGATCCCCATAAATAGGCCCCATTGTCATCAGAAACCCCATGTCTCACGAATCTGACAATGGAGACGCCCCAAAATTCTGAATGCGAAGCCGGGAACTACTGTTGATGATATAAAACCTGCATTACCTTATGGACCCTAAAGTATGAAGATTAGGGTATATTCCTTATTATGGGTACTGGTAATGACGGATTTATATCATCAACCGTATGAATCCCGAACCCAACACCCTGAAACCCTAAACCCAACCCTAAACCCTAAACCCTAAACCCTGTATCAAGATTTTAGAAGCCTTCAGAGAACCATGAACCCTGACACTGCCAAGAGGCCGCCACTGAGAACGATCCAGAGAAACACCTCCAGCGGCTGCCGCTTGTCCGGTCATTCTTTGGTGGGTGGCATTTCTCTGTTTCAGAATTTCAGAATAGCAGGGGTACCTTATTTGGGGGAAGGGGCCCTTGCAATGAGTGTCTTCTGATTTCGAAGCTGTTGGTAAGTCCGGCTTCGTAAGGGAAACTGTTGGTGTTCAACACCTTCAGGTCAACGGCTAGGGCTCTGAATTTAGGGTTGAGGCGTCCAGGGTTTAGGGGCTTAGGGTCTAGGGTCTCTTGGTTTAACCTTCTAGGGGTACCCGGCAGTTCGAAGAGGCCTGGAAGCAAAAAAAGGTCTAGGGTCTAGGTTTTAGGGTTGTGTTCCCTCGCAGTCCCTAATGTGACTCTAGGTTTGAAGGTGCAGGATACAGGCACATCTGCAGCCAAGTCTTGGCCAACCAGCCTTGAGGTTAGGATTTGAATGATAAAGAATTTCAGCCCTAAACCCTAAACCATAAACCCTAAGCCAGAAAGGAACTACATGGAGTATAGGACCTAGGAACTCAATGGAGGGTATACATCGTGGGCAGGGCTTGTGGCTGTAATCGTTAGTGAGGCTGTGAGGCTTGTCAAAGTGCAGACGTTCGAGGTATGTGTTGTTCCCAGAGAGCCCAGTACCCCTTAATTAAGCCATATACCTTAAACTATGAGGGGCTCCATCTTATAGTTTAAGGTATATTCCTCAACTAAGGGGTATTGGCCTCTCTGGGTTTGCATTTGGAGGGTAGCCCACATCACAAGCTCACCTAGGTTCCTGAGTAGTACCCTTTTGCCCTTCTTGTATTGGGGCCTCCTTATTAAAACCGAATGCTGGGAAAAAGGGTGCCCCTATCCTTTAGGGGTCACTCAGGAACCTAGTCACCCAGCAGCCCACACAGCCAGAAGGCGTGTTCTGTTTTGGGGCAGTGCCCGCTCTTGCTGCAAGCTAAGCACCCAAATAACCTACTTTTTCCCGAATGCGTAGCAGAAGGGTTCTCGTTTGAATGTTGGGGGTCTGGGGGTTAGGAGTTGACGTGGAATGTGTGCACAGCGTCCGCAAGCGTTCGCAAGCGTTCGCGAGTGTCGCGCCCCAGCGCCCAGCCCCCAGCCCCCTGGCAGCCGAACATCGTCGCGAAACGCAGAACTGTCGTCACTTTTTGGACATCGCGTTCCAAAAGTGTCAACAGTCACGGGGATGGAGGGGGTCCTGGTCGCGAAACCTTCAACTGATAATCCTGCTATCGGGTGCGCAACTGCATTCGGGTTCGTGGCTCCTATCAGGTTTGAGGTTCCTTATTTATGATTTTCTTATATAAATCCTTCAAAAGGTAGCTTTTTTAAGGGTCCAGGTAAACCCTACCCAGGACACGCAACGCGTAGGTGAATATCTCGGCCACCTTTAATTTCAGGGGTTTCTCAGCTTGCAGCCCTGCTCTTGAGCTCGCACTCTCAGGCCTACAGACCCAGATGGCTCACCCTGAGGGTCCATGTGCCCAAATAGTAGATACTTTGGCCGCAAAGTACTTCAAGGCCAAAGTATCTACTGTTTGATTGGGTACATGGACCCTTAAGTTTAGGATTTAAGGATACTTTGGCCCTAAAGTACCCAAATAGGGACTACTTTAAGGCTAAAGTATCTACTATTTGGGTCCATGGACCCTTTGGCTCAGGGTTTCGGGCTTGGGGAGTTTAGCGTCGACGACGGTTCATTGAGATTGGCAGATACTGGGCTCCTTTTCAGCTAGGAAAGCAGTATAGAGTCTAGAGAGCATCGTGCTCCCTTAGATACTTGGAGGTTCGTGGGTAGTTATAAATGGAGTTATAAGTCCCCTACTGATATGGGTTATAAGTACAGTAACCTCACTTATAACTACTGTACCCATGCGCCTCTAAGTGGAGAGCAACTCGCTCCCTTTTGTCTTCCGTCTAGATACCCTAAGTCCTTGGAAAGGCATATACCATAAACCGTGCCCTGAACTATATAAGTAGGGTGGGTTCCTTGGTTCTATAGGGATGAGTAGGGTTCCTTTAAGGGTTCTATAGAGATAGGTAGGGCTCCTCAAAGGGTTTTATGGGGTTTAGGGTTTTATGAACCCCGAAGTCTGTGTCTGACGAGTTTCCAGGTCCAGGGCGCTCTACGAAGCGGAGCCGAACTACCTCGCCGTCCTGCCGAAGAATGCAGAGGAACCACCTGTGAGTTTAATATAGGGGCCTAAACTATTACCAACGCTTTTTTTTTTGGGGGGGGGGGTCTTGATTCTAAGAATAGTATAATGGGCCCCCAAATTAAGGCCCTATATGTGGGTTTGGGGGTTCGCAGTTTAGGGTTTATCGGCAGAGTCTGAGTTCAAAACAAAAGTTGAGAGGGTTTCGGTTTTACGCTGGGTTTACTCACGCGCTCTCTCACTGCATTGTTTGAAGAAGACTTGAAGAGATCGTACAGCTGCAGAAAACTGAGGAGCTGCAACTGGCGAAGGTCTCAAGCGAACGGTCTTACGACCAAGACGGCTACGCGCATATACGAAGCTCTCACAAGAGTTACACGTCGTGCTGTCTCGGTGCCACAATTTGTGAGGTGTGAAGTTGTTTTTGGTGCAAGGCTTGAACAAATTAATTATTTGAGCGATGCATCGACAGCAGCTATGCCACGACTATCAGCTCGGCGAAAGGGATAACTAAGCTGTTGTTAGGATTAACGTCTTTTCCTTTGTCTCCATGAGATATCTCGGTCTTCCCTGTAATTATGGTCTCTATCTATGCATCTCTGCTTGTCGTAGTCTGCCTACCGTTTTGGCAATCCAGGCCTCTCTCTTGTGGGCACTTCGTGGTTGAGCTCTGCGTTCCCGGCTGTTTTAGCTAGAAGGGCATCTTGGGGCTAAGGGTATCCTAGGATTACCTTGTCGTACTTGTTCCTGGCGATAACACTGAGCCCTTGTTAGCGGAACCCTCAACCCCCATAAAAATTTTCGGGTTAAGCCTTAAGTGCTTCTGTGGCAGGAGCTTTCGGGGAGCAAAGCAGAGAATTTCTTGCAGCTCGCGGCGCTGCAGGACGGTGGTCCAGATGCCTGCTTGCCTCAAACCAGAAGCCCGCGGCCTAAGCCCTAAACTGAAGGTTTAGCGCTTGGGGTGTGTGGGTTGAGGGCTTCGTTCAGGTTTTGGGAATTAGGTTTTGGAGGGCAACTGCTTAGTTCAGGTTTTTGCAAGGATAGGGTTTACCCAGAGACTCCAATACCCCTTAATTAAGGAACATACCTCAAATCATATTAGGGATCCTACTATAATTTCAGGTATATTCCTGAATTAAGGGGTATTGGAGTCTCTGGGTTTAGCTGCTTCGGAGTTATAAAACCCTAAACCCCAAACTCTAAACCCTAAACCCTAAACCCTAAACCCTAAACCCTATATAGTTCAGGCCCAGGTCTTCGGAAGTCCGGTCCAGGTCTTCGGGGGTTCAGCGGGCCCTGCGCCCCAACAACTGCAGAGTGCATGAGGCCTTCTGCCCCTAGGAGAGCTTCTTTGGTTTTGGGCAGAAGCATGGGATTGCGGTTCATGTGGTCATACGTTCAAGTTCGATAGTAGTCATTGGTGTTTTCGTCGTAGTTGAACGACAATGTCTAAAGCCTTAACCCTAATAACCTTAGACCCGAGCCCTACCTCAACCCTGAATAACCGCGTGGATAGGGTTCCTTAGTATGATTTCCTTACATGCGTAAGCCCTTAAAGAGGTAGGTTCTTTACAGTCCAGGTAGACCCTAGACTTCATGCACAAGCCTCTGGGGGATGGTTCGATGTTGGATGTGGGGCCCAAATGGCCTGTCGGACTTAGGGTTTAGGGTTTAGGGCGGACTTGGTTGCAAAAGAGAACGCCGGCTCGGTTTCGGGTGTCTCGGATCCTTGCGTACCTTTGGGGCTTTACGGTTTAGAATTTCAGGGTAGTAGCACAGCTTGGGGGGTTTAGGGTGTTGGGCTTACTTATCAGATTGAGGGTTTAGGGCCGTTTAGGTTTTAAGTTGTAGGCTATGGGGTTTAATTGGGGGGGAAGGCTCAGGGTTTACTATTCAGCAGGGTTTAGGATACTAACATAGGGGCCTAAGTAATTACCTATACTACTTTTGTGGTTTCCTTACTATAAATTCTAGTATAATAGGTCCAAAAGCCTTATTCTAATTCTTACGGCCCCTACATCAACTAGGCGAGGGGAGGCGCCTATTAGGTCTTCTTCACGGCAGCCCCTGCAGTGTGGCAACCAGTCGGAGGGTTTCGGCCAAGAAAGGGGAAGCCCTACGGTTGATGAGATAACATCCTGGATTACCCATAACAAAGGAGTATAGGGTTTAGGGTTTCGGGTTTAGGGTTTGGGGCTTTAGGGTTTAGGGTTTCCCACAAATAAGGAAGATACCATAATTCCAATAGTTTAGGGTCCTTGAGGTCATGCAGGATTTGTATCATCAACAGTACTACGTTACGTGTGGTTAGCAGCCCAATTATCCATACAGTTAGGTTGCTGTCCCTACAGTCCGGCTTCGGTAGGGTTCAAGAAGAAATGGTTTTGGCAACGGGGCTTCTAGGGCACACGGTTCGAAATGAGCGAAAGAGTCCAAGGAGAAACTGGAGACCCAGCTAATAAGAAACCATCTATGCCGAGGATGTAAATTAATATCTAAAACGGATTACTGGCGCTCCGGGAACATGTCCGTGCAAAGTGTCGTACATACCGCACAATGTTGAGCCAGAAGTCACATGTCATCCAGCCCTAAATTCATACACCCTCCACCAGGCCATAAGCCTTAAACTTGGAAGCAGGACTCGCTCCTCACCAGCGTCTACGGACATCTGAAGAAGTCGCCAGACTGTTCTTATGTTTCCTTTAAGTCCTAGGCTCCCTCGTTGATATCCATTGGTCTGCTGGGAGGTTCATGGGCATCTAGAAGTGGGGTTATGAGTCTCCTCATATGGGCTATAAGTCTAGTTACGCTGCTTATACCTAAACCCTAAACCCTATAGAACCCTCAAGGAAACCTCCTTAGAACCCTCTTTTCAACTACCTCCGTACCTCCAAGTAGGGCCTTGGGTTCCCTGAACCCAAATCCGTATGTGTCGCGGCGGATGCTTGCTGGGAAGACGGAGTTTAAGAAGAAACAAATTTTGGGGGTTTGGGCTTCCGGTGAGGAATCAGAACCTGGGGTCTTATGCTATGAGGGGTTACCATGGGCACATGGCCTGCTATCTCGGCATCTGGTCTTCTTGCCTTGGAGGGTCTTTGTCTGACTGCCATACTGCACAACCAACGTACAAAATCATTCAGGCCAGCGACAAAGCAAAGCGTCATTCGGCAACCAATATTTTGCACAACGTTATGTTGGATATTGATAGACTCCCAACCCTTCAGTCGTCATGTGTGTCTGTATCCTGTATGTTTGCCTGTGTGATATACGTATAACAGTCACAGCGCGTATGTATGCAACGTGTTTAAGCATGCTACGTTGTTGTATGCATGCCTGAACCTCGGCTAAGGAAGATTCATCGCGTTCAAGGCCCGGCAATCGTGGCAAAGAGGTCCGGCGAGGACGACACGCACCATCTTCTCCGAGCATTTCGCAAGCACGTGGAAACTTGCCCAACACCAGCAGGATTTTTGTCTTCGGGGGTTCAGGGTTTTTGTTTTGTTTGTTTCTTTTGTCAGGGTTTGCGTAGGGTTTTGCGGTTTGAGAGGCGGGACTCAGACATGATGCTCGGAAGTGCATGAGCCTGTTCTTGCGTTTTGTATATCCATGTGTCATATGTTTGAACCCATCAGACAAAGACACGGACAAACATAAGCACGCACGTACATAGTATAGAGAGCGAGAGAAAGAAAGCAAGCAAGAAAGAAAGAACGAACGAAATAAAAAAGAACGAAATGAAAAAGAAATACATAAAGAAAGAACTAAGTAACGAAATAAAGAAATGAAGAAAGACAGAAACAAAGAAAGAACGAAAGACAGAAAAACATAAATGAATAAAGTCACACACACACACCCATCCATCCATCCATCCATCCATCCATCCATCCATCCACCCACCCACCCACCCACCCACCCACCCACCCACCCACCCACCCACCCACCCACCCAACCAACCAACCAACC